GGGTACCACGTTCGTGAATGGAGCGTGGGGGAATTTTTAAGGAGAGAGTTTGAAGGAGGGGGGGGGGAGGGTGGGTTGGGGGTTTTAAATTTTTTGTAGAAAGTAGAAAGAGTGTCTTTTTTGCTCTGCAGGTGTGCAGCTTCCGTGGTGTTCGGACCGTGGTGTCCAACAGGTGTACTAAAGAAAACCTAAATTGGAGAACGGAAGCGCCGCTACCTGGCGCAATAAATGTGGTGAGGCCTGGTGAGAGGGATAAGTGATGTACTCACCCATGGTAGGTGGATCATTCGCTGTTAGGACGGCCGTCAGGTGGAATGGAGCAGTTGCGGGAGACGGTCCCTCTTGGGATGGGTGGTGTAGCGGTGTGACACAAAAACCGGGAAGGTGAGATGAGGGAGGTGAGCACAAGAAAGGAGAGATTTTGTAACTCGCCGCCAGGAAAGTGAAAGCTGGCTCTCGACGACGGATGTGGGCTCTTGTAGAAGGCTGCAGCATGATCCTCTGGATGGGTGCTGGCGTGGCAGTCCTGCTGGACGTCGGCGGTGTCCGGCGCTGGGGAGAGACGCGGTGCTGGAGGGTAATGTGGATGCCGAGGTGTTGTGATGGCCCCCTGGTATGCCTGCTGGAAGGGGGGTGAGGATCCGGAGTGGAGGCGGATGAACGCTGGGTCCTCCCTGATAGTCCGGCGAATCCGTGTCCTCAGACTGTCGGCTTCCGATGACGGTGCGGAGGTGTGGAGAGGCAGAGGGGGCGGAGCCCAAGGGTCGAGCTCGATCAGCTCTGACATAGCGGCTTGAAAAAGAAGGTATTGCCTTCGAAACGCGTCGCCAGCACGAACCCAGGACCCACTGAGTGTTTGAAACACTCCATCTCTCCACCGAGCCAAAACTTTTCCTAACCTGACAAGGTTACAGTCACTCCTGTAACCTTGTCGGGTCACAGGAGTGACTAAGGGAAAGACCAGCGTGTGGGAAATGTTTCTGTTAGATGTGCCCGGGACGTGCAGTAAGGTCTGTGCTGGGTGAGGCATTCCCCAACCTGGTCACCGAGCTATCTGTGGAGGAGACCGGGGAGGAGCCTCCCTGCCCCTCACTTGCTCGTCAGATGTCTTTAGTGGTTCTTTTTTTTTTTTGATTGGACAGCTTGGACCAATGCCATTGGTCCAAACCACCCACAAAGCTCAAGCCTCTAACACCAAGTAGAAGCTGCTGGAGCTCTGGCTTCACTATGTTAGGTTGCACAAAGCAGTGGGGGGATTTACTTGGGTTAGCGTACGCCGGGGGGGGGGGGGTTGGGGGATTTTTTGGTGTTCCCAGCTATGTTGCCTCTGCCAAGCAGTGCAACATGTTGTGTTCCATACACATAGGGAGCAGTCCTGCCGGATCAGGCTCCTTCAACTCGCAATCTACTAACGGTTCCAGGGCGTCATGCAGTGTCCCCGCTGAGGGACTGGACATCGGTAGCCTGGACGGGTTGTCCCTTGCTTGAGTCAATACACTGCTCAGTATATTCCT